GCTGGCGTGAATGAGATCTCTCCCTCCCTCCTCCTCCTCCTCCTCCTTCTCCTCTTCCTCTTTTCCCGGATCAGACGGCACTCTTAACGTGCGCCTGCTGTATGGAGCCTAACGCGGAGGAGACTTGACTTGTTTTTTTTTTTTTTTTTTTTTTTTTTTTTTTATTTTATTTTCCTTTGTTTTCTATTTCGCCCAATTTTTGTTGTATCTGCTTTGGCGATCGAGTGAAGGACGGGTGACACCATAGGAGAAGGAGGGGGAAAAAAAAAGACAAATCAATGTTTTCCACTGAGGTTGGAGAGAGAAGACCGTGATTTTCGGGATGCCTTGGCGTTCACACGGATCGGCACGGTAAGATGTCTATGATTCACCCATTTATTCACGCATTATGCTCGAATTCTGAGGATCTTCTACTGTAGGTTGGAACATTTTTTTTTATGGGGATCTGTCCGTGGTGCTGAAATCTCTGTCTGCCCACCCCCTCCCACCACATCCTCTCTCTGCCCTTTACTGCATTAGCGAAGTTGATCCGATTCAAGACAGTTTAGAAAAAAAAAAAAAGGTGTGCGCGCGGCTTCCCTTTACCTTGACAAAAAAAAAAAAGCCTCCCAAGTTACTGATAACACCCGCGTCTGCAACAGACGTTTACATTAGACGTGACTTTAAGAATCGATTGCAGCGCCCGGAGATGTCTTAAATAAGACTATTTGGATGGGGATTCGGTGTACATAGACTAAAATGTACGCGCGCACGTGAAAATCCGCGTGCACGCAAAGCAAAAAAAAAAAAAAGGGGGGGGGGTATGTAACCCCCTCTTTTCCTTCACCCCCCACTCTATGGCAGTAGAAGCACTGCCGCCTCATTTTCTGGTTATTTACCAGAGATCAACAGCCCCATCACGCAGTCTTCGTCTTTGATCAACTTCTCTCGATCATTTCTGCCTGTAGGCAAAAAGGAGGTTCTGTCGCCTTCCTAGGCCGGATTTTTTTTTCTTTCTCTCTCCCTTTTCCCTCTCCAAGATGAGCAGTGCCTGCTTTATTTTTCTTTCCTTTTCTCGATCAATTCCTTTTGAGAGAGAGAGAGAGAGAGAGAGAGAGAGAGAGAGAGAGAGAGAGAGAGAGAGAGAGAGAGAGATGTGTTCTGGTCTCCTTTTCAGTCCCCCCACAACCCTTCAAATAAGAGTCGATAAAAATGACACTGCGCTCGAATGAAATCTCCGTGTCCTCGTGTTGCTGTTTGCTCCCAGCCTGGAAAGGGAAAAGAATCCAGACAGTTTGGCCACAGTTTGCCAGGGGGGGCAGTTGAGGGGAGCTGGGTGAGGATTCCTCTTTAGAAAACGATGGAAGATTCCTGTGTAAGGTACATTGGAGGCAGATGACAGTTGGTGTTTGGAAATCCAGTGATGAAGTCTAGACTTCCATTTTCCAAGATGGATTGGTTTTAATTTAAGCAATCCAACAACTTGCGCACCTATCCTTCATGTTTATAGTTATTAAGCACTGAAGTTGCAGCACGTCTTCACGCCGAACAGTCCTCAATAGGCCTACTTGTTTTTTTGCCTGTGTGCCATGAATACTCACAGGGGCTCAGTTCATTTAGTAGGCAGCTATGCAGTTTTAGAAATGTTACACGTGTCTCATGCATTTCCTGTGCAGTATAAAAAAGAACCCCTCCTTTTTTTTCTATTCTCTTCTACCCATCCCTCCATACCCCCCACCCCTCCCTTTCCCTAGATGACACCTCACACTGGCACCACACTCGAGTGAGCCGGGGCATCCTCTCCCAGGACAAAATGCATATCTGGATTCTAAAAATAATCCTTCTGATTGCATCATCTCCGAGGCTGGTCGAGATGTATGACAATTATGGGGAGATCTGCCGGAGTCTGTGCACGTGTGACGAGAAGGAGGGGATCCTGACAGTGAGCTGCGAGAACCGGGGGATCATCAGACTGACAGAGATCAGCCCGGTTCAGTTCCCGATGTACCACCTCCTGCTGACAGGGAACCTCCTGAAGAAGCTGTCAGTCAATGATTTCATCAATTACACCGGGGTAACCATCCTGCACTTGGGGAACAATGATATCTCCGAGATCGAGTCAGGTGCCTTCAACGGACTCCAGGGATTAAAACGGTTGCACCTGAATAACAACAAGATTGACCTTCTGAGGGACGACACTTTCACAGGGCTGGAAAGTTTGGAATACCTACAAATTGATTATAACTACATTACAACTATAGAGCCCAATGCCTTGAGCAAACTGCACCAACTGACAGTAATGATTTTGAATGATAACTTACTTTCTGCCCTCCCCTCCAATATATTCCGGAATGTCCCCCTTACGCACTTGGACCTTAGGGGGAATCGACTGAAAATGTTCCCCTACATCGGCCTCCTGGAGCACATGGACAAAGTCGTGGAATTACAACTGGAGGAAAATCCGTGGAACTGCTCCTGTGAGCTCATTGCTCTCAAGGCTTGGCTGGAGAGCATAGCCTACACGGCTCTGGTTGGGGAGGTGGTGTGCGAGACGCCTTTCAGGCTGCATGGCAGAGACCTGGATGAGGTGTCCAAGCAGGAGCTGTGCCCGCGGAGACCCGTAGAGGACACGGTCAGGCCTGCACCACCCAGCAGCACCAATGGATATTATCAGACCACACCTTCTGCTGTCACGGCCTCTGTCACCTCATCAGCTGTTTTTAGGTCCTCCTCCAGGCCTACCAAGGGCACACGGCAATTTAACAGAACTAGGTTAAAGCCCACTTCTCGGTTACCGGGCGGTAACCCGTATAACTATGGCCCCATCATTGCTTTTCAGACCAAATCTCCTGTGCCTTTGGACTGCCCCACTGCCTGCACATGTAATCTGCAGATTTCTGAAATTGGGTTAAATGTCAACTGCCAAGAGAGAAAGATTGAAAGCATTTCTGATCTGAAACCCAAGCCATACAACCCTAAAAAAATGTATCTCACTGGAAATTACATCCCTGTGGTGCGAAGATCTGATTTTGTCGATGCTACTGGATTGGATTTGCTTCACCTGGGAAACAACAGGATAAGTGTGATCCATGACAGGGCTTTTGGGGATTTAACCAACCTGCGTCGGCTGTATTTAAATGGTAATCTCATGGACAGGCTTACAGGGGAGATGTTTTTTGGCTTGCAGAACTTGCAGTACCTTTATTTAGAGTACAACAAAATCAAGGAGGTGGAGGCTGGCACTTTTCGCTACCTGCCTAATCTCCAGCTGCTTTTCCTCAACAACAACCTCCTCAAAACTTTACCCATGGGCATCTTTTCCAGCCTCTCCCTGTCTCGGCTTAATCTGCGTAACAACCAATTCCAAAACCTGCCTGTGAGCGGTGTTTTAGATCAGCTCAAGTTGCTTGTGCAGATAGATCTGTTTGAAAACCCCTGGGACTGTTCTTGCGACATAGTGGGGATGAAGATATGGCTTGAGCAGCTCAGTGCAGGGACGGTGGTTAATGAGGTTGTGTGCGAGACGCCCGTACGCCACAGGGGGACGGATCTGCGTTCCATCCAGTCTGAGCAGCTGTGCCCAGACTACACTGACTCATACGTCTCACCAACTCCCCCCACGGAGGAGCCCATGGACGACCATGTTGTCACAACAAACGCTCCCCAGAAGTTCAGCCCCTCAAGCAGCACAGTTCCCCTCTCGGTCCTCATCCTTAGCCTCTTGCTTGTTTTCATCATGTCCGTCTTTGTGGCAGCGGGGCTCTTTGTTGTGGTGATGAAAAGGCGCAAAAAGTCTCAGAGTGACCGCACGAGCACCAACAATTCGGACGTCAGCTCCTTTAACCTGCAATACAGCCTCTACAGCAATCGCTCCGGCCCTAAAGTCAAAGCCCCCGCCGGTCATGTTTACGAGTACATTCCCCACCCCATGGGCCACATGTGCAAAAATCCCATTTACAGGTCACGGGAAGGGAACACGGTGGAGGATTACCGAGACCTTCACGAGCTCAAGGTGACATACAGGAGTACCCCTGATGAAGAGAGGGATGGTAGCACGTTGAGGAGTCCCGCATACAGCGTTAGTACCATCGAGCCACGTGACAACCCCTCCCCCATCCAGGATGCAGACCACTTTTTCAGGGGCATTCTGGAGCCTGATAAGCAGTCTCCGCATCAGTCCATCCCATCCATCCCAGCAGCCAATTTAGAGTACAAGTACACTGGGCCTGTGTCGTACACATACAACCCAAATTTCGATGTCAGACGGCAGTTCTTGCACCCGGAGAGGATAAGAGAAACGGTGCTCTACGGCACAGCACCCAGTACTGTTTATGTGGAGCCCAACAGAAACGAGTATTTGGAGCTAAAAGCTAAACTGCAGTCTGAGCCTGATTACCTCGAGGTCCTTGAGAAACAGACCACCTTTAGTCAGTTCTGAGCAACGCGGTTGCTAATGTTAATGAGACACTTTCTCTGCTGGTCCTCCTTGAAACAGTGGCTCAGTTTATTAAAGGGTGCCTTGGCACAGAAACACACGAGCAAACGCGAGGGAGCTAGGACGGGGTGTGCCGAACAATCAATTCTTTCTGAAACGCGACAGCACGAAAAACGGATACAGCTTTCTGACACGTAGACGAACAAACTCCACTGATGATGATGCAAATTTTATTTTTTTATGGTGAAGATGGAATAACACAACATGTAAGTGTACTGGTAAATCCTATCCAACTTCATTTTCAGGAATATAACCATACATTAAAAAAAAGGTATATTGTGAATCAGAAGAGAGAGAGAGAGAGAGAGAAACGTTTATAAAATCCCTCCGGGAAAAAAAAAAAAAAATAACACTTGTACAGCAGATGATCAGAACTGTGTAGGACTATTTTCTGCTGTAGTCTGTAAGTAAGTATTTATTGATATAATCTGCCATGTCTTTTAAAAAAAGAAAAAAAAAAACTTTGATTCTACATCAGATATTACCTGTGTCATCATATTCCATGATCCTCTGGAAAAAAAAGGCTTATGTTTGTAGTTTCATTTACTGTAGCTCTGCATTGTAACAGTGGCTTTTTCTTTTTTGAAAGTGGCACACCCCCCCAAATGTTCAAAAACAGACTGCGTCATTTGAAGATTTAAAAAAACAAAACAAAAAAAAAAACAACAAAAAATAGTGTCTTTGTATGCTTTCTGCACTTTTTGAAATTGGAAGGCGAGTTTGCCTTCGTTGAGCTCTCATAAAGGAGATTATTATATTAAAAATGAATATGAGTATTCATTCTTAATATGTAGAGGTGATATGTTATCAAAACTAAATTCATAAATGATATTTGAAGTATTCATTATGTTGTGTAATACTGATCAATGTAACACCTATTTTTATACGAGCATTGGCAGATTCTCTATCCCTTATTGGTTCCTTTGTTTTGATTGCTTTGCACTTATTGCACTATATTGACCAAACTATGTTATTGTCATCAAATAAAACAAGATGTCAGGTTCATACATTGTGCTCATGAGGAAAACTGAAGTGTTCTGGTTGACATTACTAAGAATCATCAGAGCTGGGTTGGTAGTGTACCCTTTTAATTTGGCAAATCAACTGACATTGTCTTGGCTAAGAACCGGCGACTGAAGATGCAGTCTGTGCTTCACTCATAGGGCTGGCGTCTCAGAAAGGCCTGGAATCAATGGGGATTCAATCAATGAGCATTAAACCTTTGCAATTATACAATGACAACTGTATCCACATTACTGCCTGCCAAGCGACAAGGAGGTCATTTATATAAACATGATAGGAGCCGACTTAGAGCTCCTGCAAAGCCAGTGGGCATCAACTTTGACAGTGATGAGGACATACAGACTGAAGATAGTCATAATAGACTTGTATTAGGGAACTTTAAAAACAAAAGAATTACATGGGTAGTTATAAAAATGCTAAAAATGTACATTTATTTAATTGTACATTTCAGTGTGGTTTTATATAACACTATTTTTCAGTGGTGGTTCTGATATCTGTTTGGGCCAGTCGAATATTATCAAATTACAACCACTGATTCGACCACAAACAACAACAGCTCAACTATTCATTATAGTAATAGAATCACATTTCAACTTGGTTTTTGTTAAGATACTAAATTTCAAATGTAATATTTTCATTCTTTGCATATAAATAATATTTTTAGCTAGTTGAAAGGACTCCTAACTGCTCTTATTGCCCATATATGTTGTGCATTTTAAGAGGCTAGTGTTTACATAGAGTGGTAAAGAAAGAAAACAATAGAGAATAGAAAGCAAAGAACATTTCCTTAAATCGTCAACTGTTAAAGTGGGTCAGACATGCATCAAGTTCAAAGCAAGTGCAAAATGATGCACTGGTTGGTGTGAAAGGTTTTGTGGTTGATGACTTGTTTTTGCTCATGAGAGACCAACATTGCGATGGTACAAAATGACGAGCACAAATCAAAAACAACAACTTTAGACACTAAAGCAAAACAAAATAAGTCAATTAACTATTATTGTCTTTTTGAGTAGGAATCGGTGCAAAACATAGCTTCCCTGTTGTGATTTGGGTACAAAAACCAGGCAAAAGTATAGAAAAAAAAAAATTCAGTCAAGAGCAAATCTCAACATTAAAAGTATGTAAATTTTACTTTTGCAGTTTTCATGTTTGACTTTTTCAGTGATTCGTGGTAGTGTATGCTATGTGACAGACAGGGCTCTGGGTTCAAAAGGATCCAGATTCAAATGTGAGAGGGCGAAATGAAGACACTTTTTAAAATACAGATCGTAACTTAAAGGTAGTTTTTTTTTTTTTTTTTGGTACTGTCTGAAGTTGTTGTCTCGATTTGTTTGGCCACTTCACTACTTGAAAATGCAAAGCAGGGCCCATAAAAAGGCAAGAGGCTGCCCCTGTGCCACCATTTTCAGTGTGCAGCGAGCGTCACCATTTAGGAATCCGAGCGCTCCCTCAGCAGAGACAGACGACATCTTTCCGGAGCCGAGGCCCGCCGACTAATTCTCAACTCGCGGGGAATTATTTGGAATTAAATGAATTTATAATTAAACCTTCTCCGCGTGCAAAGAGCTGTTATATAACTGTTTACGTTTTTTTTTTTTTTCTTCTCTTTCCCACTACCAAGTCCATCGTGGTGCCTGCTGCCTTGCCTTATTAAAAAAAAAAAAAAAATGTAACGCTCTGGGTCCTCATTGCTTTCAGAGAAGCTCAGAATGAGAGCAGAAGGCAACCATTTGGGAGATGAGGAGTCCTGGAACCGAGTGTAACTGTGGATGTGTCATACATGTTGCAGGGAGAGGTGAATCATAGCCAAGGAGTGCATGCACTCGGCCAGCATTGGTGGCCTGTGGGCTGCTCACAGTTCCTGACATGGAATTATATTTAATTTTTGTGATGCTTATATTGCTAAACACTTTGCACCTGAGCAGCACGGTGACAAATGTTTAAAATGTGGTGCAGATGGCTGCATGGGGTTTCATTTTCATATCCTCGAATTACAATTTTTTTTCTTTTCTCATCGTCAGATGACAAAATGTTCGAACACATTGATGAAATCAATGAATCATTTTTTTCCCCCCCTTTTCTGAAATAGGTTTGTCATTACTGTGTGTGCGCGCGCGAGTATTAACATCTATCCAACCCAGACTGTTTGGTTTAATTGCCGCCTTGACCCAGCTTACAGTCCCAGCGTAATATAGTCGCATTTGTCGAAATTGCACGCTGAATCAATTTAAAAACCAAAATTGATCAGAGAATCTGTTGAACTTCTGCGGCGAGATTGGAGAGGAGGCGGGCGAGGTGAGACATCCCAGATGGCGTTGCCTCACGCTGACCGGCATCCCTGATCATTTCTGAATGAAACTCATCGCGTGGGATCTGACGCAAGGCCGGCGGTGTGTGATGCAGGTGTGGGGCAGAGGAAGCCTCCCTCCTCGCAGAGAGAGAGCTCATCAGAAAGGCAGAGCCGGGGAGAGAGAGAGAGAGAGAGAGAGAGAGACGGGTGATGGGCAGCCGGTGTTCTCGTACGCTCTTCTGCTTTCGCACCATTTGAGAGTTAATCAATGCGGAAGCAGAGTGGCACAGCGCATGAAACCTGTCCAAGCTCTGCACCAAGTGTTGGCTCATCACTTCTGCTATTTTCGGTGCGTGGAGTTGAACTTGCCCGGCAATTACTTTCGAACAGTGTTCTTAAAAAATAAAAATAATTAAAAAAAGGAGCTGATTAAGAAGAAAAAAAAAGAAAAACTTTTTTCTGGAGGAGTTTTTGCTCCCAATCCAATTTCATGGTTTCTCAGATTGCGTTGGCAGAATTGGATGTTTATGGTAAATAAAATCAGCTTGATGCCCAGCTTGTGCAGGGCCGCGTTAGGCAGCTACAAGGCCTGGGGGCAAAATGATGCTGAAGGACCCCTCTTTACAACCACGTTTCAGCAACTCTAAGGATTCACATATCTTTAAGTACGGAGTATTAGTTTAATTTAAATTAACAGTAACTGAAATAGAAATAAAAAAGATTATGCCAACCTCTTGAACTTTTTCATCCATATTGTTGTGATTTAAGATGTAATCAATATTAAGTTGATTAGCAGGAATATATACACGAGTTCTGCTTCTTCTGGGTTTCTACCAGTTGGATTGCTCACAAATCTACCAGTACATTATTATTTAGCCCTTAGCTACCAAAAAGGAAAAATAAGCTAATCCATTTTCATTTTCAAGAGCGTCTATTTTCTGACTTTTTTTATGTAAAAAGGAATAAGTAACATACAAAGCAAAGGTTTCTGATGTTTTTCCTGTCTTAATGCTTAACATGATTGTTTTTTTAATGTATTTTTTGGTCTTTGAATGACCAAATGTTGCATTATCTTATTTATATTTTGCTGTCAGTTATTCCCAATTCAAAACTTGGCAGTCTACTTTAAGTTGGCTGTTGATTTAACTGTTGGCGTTTCCTTTTTTGTTTCTTCTTTTGCTGCTTTTCGGTTTACAATAAGACGCTGCAATCATACGTAAACGATAATTACGCTAATAATGCATCCACCCCGGGCGTACTGAGAGACCTGCAGGGTGGACGTTTTGCATATGCTCGAGTGACGTCTCATCGAACGTGGCCCCTTCCCCCTTCTCCCCCCGCCGATGCCGCCACATTCCTCCGAGCCCGCCTCGCTTTCCTTCTCGCCACCCGGTCTCCATGATGATGTGAGCAATTGAGTTCAAGGAGATCTGGGTAATTGAGAGGGCAGGGATGGCATCTGACAGGCACCGATGGCTCCAATGATTACTTTAATCAGAGTGGTTAATGGAATTCCTTCAGGCATGTAGAAATGCTCAAATGTTCATCAGCACTCAACCGGTTTCTACCCCCCACCCCTTCACCCCCCGTCGCTGCCAACGCCTCCTCTTCTACCTCACGTTGCCATAATTACCGATCAGTTTTCCTTCCTCCTTGTGCCTCCTCTTTCTGTGTTACCCCCAAGCATCTGGGCTTTGTTTGTTCCTGTGATCTTAAATCCAAAGTGGGAATCATTATGAGGGGACACTGGGCAGCTTTATGGTCCAAAAATGCATTATGGATAAGGCGTTTTCTCATAAAATGCCATGGTAAAGCTCTTAACATCCATAGGGACTCTCAAGGACTTGGTCACAGTAAATTCAAGCATATTCTTACATAGATAAAAAGCACTTTAGATTTAAGTGGATTTTTCCAGTACACGCAGAATTAAGAGTGGATTTAAAACTTGTATTTCTTTTTTGTTATTATTATTAAAATGCTCTAAATTTGTTCATCAGGAATGTTAGTTTGACACTTCTGAATTAAATGGTACTATAACACTTGTATGTTCTACTCAGATTTTAACTTTTGATTGATTAGCCATTACATCTTAAAGTCAAATGTGTCATCTGCCAATTAAAAAGCCACTTGCTGCTGTCAATACATTGAAGGTTTCTTTTTTTATTATTATTTGTTATGCAATACTGAAAAACGTGCCAGCTACAGTCAATGGCGAATATATTCGTTACCTCTGTCGTGATTGGACGGGAGAATTAGACATTCAAACACCAAATAGACCTACTAACAGTGGAAAGCATGGTTACTTTTTTTCTGCTTTACAGCCAATCAGGGCTGAGGAAAATAAACGGCACTGTGGATTGGTTACTTTGCAAATATCAGCCAGCGAAGGATCACTGCACCTTGGTGTTTTAACTTCTAAAGACACATTTATTTCAAATATTTTAGTCAAACTGAGGGAAAAAATGTAAATAGATGAATAATTTGGAGCTACATTCCACAGAAAACCCACCAAATGTTAACCTGCAATACTTTACAAAAAAGTATTACCAAAAAGTCATTTCGCAGAGATATATTTCTTTTCTTAGAGTATATCCAAAGTAAATATAGCTTGAGAAGCTAATAAAGCTAGGTGCAATGTTACTTGACATGCTATTGGCTGGCATTTACAAAGTAGCCAATCCAGGAGCTCCATTTTCCTTGCCACTAATTTAAACAGTGAAAATAAGACTGTAGATATTAGCTTCCGGGTTGTGTTGAGAGATTTCACAGTGGAGCTTTATGCATATTGACATACATTTGGTGTTTAGAATATTAAAATAGCAGCTACAATTGACCCTTATGAATAAAAGGCGTCCACTGTAATTAAAATTCCCTTGCAGCTCCAGAAAATACAGAACTCTAACACAACGTTATAACTTCCAAGTGGATCCACATAATACTACTTTTTACTGTACTAACCTCATATTTAAAGACATTGAATCATTTCATTAAGTAAACTAATGTATTTTTAACAAATCTAAAAGGAGGACAACTTTTTTTTTTATAACTGCCATTACTTATGTGCTACATGTTGAAACATTATTCCTATAAAAAGGACTGTGCTTTCAGCTTTTTCATTTGAAGTATGTTGAATGGTTATTTTAGAAACAGATATGTACACTTTAAAAAAAAATCCATCTCTGCTTAGTATGTTTTAATAAATTGTATGCTCTCTCTGTTTCAGCACTACATTTTGTACATTTACTATTATTGCTTTGATTTTAAACACCTTAACAGACTGTTCTTGTACTCATTTAAAATCATGTAAAGTAATCAGCCCAGCTTTAGTTTGCATAGCTTTGGAAATTCAGCTATTCTGCGACCAAAATCCATACAACTTAAACAATCTACTCGCCTGTATATGGTGGTAAATAAAGCTCTGCAATTAGTGTATACACTATGCGACTTAAAGCAGATGGTGCTCCTATGGAGCCGAATCCCCATTTGATAAATCAATGCAGATGGAAGTAATGGACTTCCTGCAATCCTGCCTTAACCTTCACCTCCCAGTTCACCCTGAATGGTGGATGATGAAGTTAACATAGGGATGGAAATCCTTCATGCAAAATGGAGGCAATTATCCCAGGAGCTGTCATTTCAGAAGTCAATAGCCTATTTCCAGTTTGTTACATATTTGCGAATCGATGTTCATGGGAATGAGAAATTTTTGATGAAATATCTGGGGTTTTTGTTTGTTTGTTTTTTTGTGAGGCAAAATGTTTCATATTTTACTGAGTTCTTTGTTTTGTTTTGTTGTTTTGTCACAGTTTTACTTCCGTCCTCCAACCCACTTCTCCAGCCTCCCCGCTCTCTTTTGGGCAGCGGGGCCGTATTCATCAGGCCTCCCCCGTTTTGTTTGTTTGTTTACGGAGGCTGCACCCGCTGATCCGGAGCCGCAGTAACCCTGTCGTTTGATAAATGGCAACCATAGCATTACTGACTCCCCAGCCGAGCCGCGGTGACGGCTGGCCAAAAAAACAACAGGTTGATGTATGGCTTCCTTTAGACTGTCAAGTCGTTTAAGTAGAGCCCATCCAGGCTCGGCGCTTCTACTGTACGCTTGTATTTGCTTGGACGCGTGCCCCGTCCTGCCCTGCCCTGTATGTGTCAGTGATTTCAATACTGAACAGAAGCTGCTGAGGCATGATATATGCAGGTTTCACTGACTTTATTAGACGTTTTTATTTTTGCTTGTGCGAGTCGACTACAATGGAAGCGTAAGGTCGGAAAATAGTCATAGAGATTTATTCGTACTCTGGGTCCAGAAATTTCCCAAAAATGGTGGCGGTAACAAGATCAACATATATTTTCTACAAATTTCTGGATTTTGCAGCAGTGTTTATAGCATTCTGTTCCTGAAGCCAAAAAGGACATAAACATAATGTTAACTTTACATCTGGACACTTAATCCATTCCTCTCCCTTTTTTTAAGATATTTGGACCAAGCACTAATTGAACATCTGCAATCCTTTGACTTTAAATCAGGACTTCATTACCTTACATTACCTTATAGACAGTTTAAAGCACAGTCCGAAATCTGCAAGCCTCATATTTTATACCAAAGAGGAGTGCTCAAGCTTTATTTGGCAACTAAATTAGCCGTTTAAAAATCATGGCACTAGTTTGAAACCCCCATCTGTGAAAATACAGAGTCCAAAGGTTTAGTGGGTGAGGGGGGAAAAAAATCAAAATGCAGAACTAATATTTCACTTTGTTCAACATAAACCGAGAAATAAGTATCTTTGTTTTAGAAAAGAGATCTGGAAGTCATTGAAGATCCAAAAATACAGCAAGTCTCTGATGTTTTTGATTAGTTGGGTAAAAATATATAGTTTTCAAAATGTTGTTAACTTCATTGTCATATGCAATGTTTTTTTTCTTTTTTTAATTTGTCAGTGAAAATTAAGCAAAAAATAAATAAATAAATAAATAAAAGCGTCCAGTGTCGGTCAGATGGGTTCGCTGTTGGGCCAGATTTGTAATGTTTTTTAAATACAGTTTAGGGACCCACAAAACCATTAGTATGGCCCCGGGGCCACACTTTGGACACCAGTAATCTAGAAGGTCAAAGAGATTTGGCATAGTGCTTTTTTTATGTTTGTTTTCACAAACTTGAAGACCAAAGTGATCAATGAGTTGGAGAAGCTAGCTAATAAAAAAAAAATATGAAAATTATATTCATATCTTTCCAAGACTGAATGGGAGTCCAGTGTTAGCATCCAATGGAGGAGCTTTTTGAGCTGAACTAATCATTGACCTTATACAAATGGAGCATTTTGATTTTGAAAGAGAAAGTTGAACATTTTTATTCAAAATCAAGCTTTTCATCTCAAAATGTAAGTTAAAAGTGGCAAGATTTGAATCTAA